CATGAAAGTTTAAAATTATTTAAAAATTAAATTATTCCTAAGATTTTTTGTTACTGATTTATCGAGGATTAAATAAAAATAGCATTTTGATATAATTACTCACAATTCCGTTAATAATTAAAATTAGAATTATTTCATAATTATATAGGCCCTAGTGAAGTAAATCAACTATTAATAAAAAGCCTTTAAGAGCCGATGCAAGTTGTTATGCGAGACATAAGTTTATTAATATTAAAACTACTTATTTTTTATCTTCTTATGTAACTCTAATTCATAATGCATAAATTCTGTAAAATATTCTAATAATTCAACTACAACAAAAAGTCTTGGAGCCGACACAAATAGTACATTAAATTTAATGTACAACTTGCGTCAGCTCCAAGGCTTTTTATTAATTATTATTTTACAGAATTTATGCATTACATTATGAATTAGAGTTACATAAGAAGATAAAAATCAAGTTAAGAGTATAAAAGTCAATAAGAAGAAGCTCCTAAAGAAAAATTCAAACTCCGACGAAATCACCAGAGATCGCGCTGCACGTCGCACATCGACATGTCTTTTTATACTATCACAGTAATATCTCACGCAACCTATAATACACGTAGTCACACGTATGTGTCAATTTTGTATAACAAATTCGCCGCGATGAAGCGTCTAAATCTAATTCTAAGAACTTGATGTTGTTCGTGTAAACTACATGTGTGGAAACCACTATTTCATACGTACAAGTTGCAAAGTTTTTATATCAAGCAAATGTTGAAGAGAATGATCAAAAATTTCAAAATTGTATATTTTTGTATATTTTTTACTATTTCTTAGTGTAATGGCGTCTCAGCTGTCACGACTTGACAGCTGAGACGCCATGTTACACTAAGAAATAGTAAAAAATATATCAATTTTGAAATTTTTGATCATTCTCGGCATAGACTCCACTTGCCAGACACGTATTAATGCATATATTTTAATCCTGAAAAAGGATTTTTGAATCGATGAAAGAGAAAAAAAGTATTTCTTATATAAAAATTATACGTGCTTACGTGAAACAGGAGGCTTTAGGATCCTCTTAACTATATCAATAATTAACTTAATATCAATAAATGGACTGTATCAATATCTGCTTATCATATGCAAACAACTGGAGACACGACAGTGTCTCGGTGTTAAGCACTGGCGCGAGACATTGTCTTCGTGATAAACACATGCCTATTAATCTGTAAATACATATATATTTTAAGTTAGTATAAGTAAAAAATTGTTAAAACTCTCGCATAAATCAATGGCAAATTTTTATTTATTGTTCTATTAAATACATATAATTTATATTTATAATTTTTTATTATACTATCATGGTATAATATAATAGCAAATGATATAATTTTAATGTAATGTTATAATTTTTTAAAAAATCTATCAATAAATACATTTAAATTCGTTCGGAGATTTAACAATTTTTTACTATATTATATGTATTTACAGATTAATGTAATGTGTTTATCACGAAGACAATGTCTCGCGCCAGTGCTTAACACTGTCGTGTCTCCAGATATGTTTGCATATGATAAGCATATATTGATCCATTTAATTTATTCATGTAGTGTATTTTATTAAATTATTTTCGATCAGAAGCAGACGAACTCGATTGAAAACCTGATCAAATTTTGTTTTTTTTTATGTTTCCAAAATCGTGAAATCCTTGATTTTTCGTGCGTTCACATGTGACATTGCTATCATATACAACAAGACGAACGAGACGAGCAAATTACGGAGATTAAGTGCACTTTGTCACACTTTCGCGATGCGGGATGTCTCATCGCGGCGGAGAGAAAGACGAGACAAGTAAGGAATTGCAATGTGTAGCGTGATTCATTCCTAATATATTTCAACGTGTAACTATGTCAAGAAATGGTATAATGCGTCAACTGATACACCATTGAAAATGTTCTTCTAGAAATTTGATTATGCACGGTATATTTGTGTGATCAACTACAACTTCGAAATTACCAAAGTATAAAAATACTACAATTTTATTAATTTTTTATCTACAAGTATTATTACAATATTATTACAAATTGTTCCAATAATTATTATATTTTAACGATCATAAGTATACATTTTATATTTCATAATACATTATTTTACTATATTTATTACTTTATTTTAAGTAATTGTATTTTTTTACATAATACGTAATACGTATTCGGAGAGATTACTCTTTGCGCGATTGATGTTTAAAGAATTATGATTTCACGAATAATGATACGTATAATAGCATCAAGAAGATGGACCGGACATTGTTTTAACTTCCACATGATCCGGTTAGCCCAGCGTCGTACGTGCACATTTATGCCCCTAGAACGATCCCTAAACTCAAATTAGCCTTGAATTCTCCTTAATCTGAGTCTAACTAACTGTGTGTGTCACGCTCGCTGCATATGTGCGAGCAAGAGAAGAACAGGCGATGAGTGGCACACATCTGTACGATACAAACGTTGCGGGGGAGAACATAACACCCACTAGTGACATACACGGCTACGCCGTAATCGTTTAAAAGGTTAAAGCCCTGTTTGATACTTCGGGATATATATTTTTTCTCTTTCTTCTTCTTTTCATTTTTCTCCTGCAAACATCTGTGTAGAGCTTTATCCGTGACATACGATTGAGACGGCACGAGGATAGAGAAGAGCACAACGAAATTCAGTCATCACCGTCAAAAGTAACATTGATTTAAAATTTAACTATTACTTGTTTATAAAATGAATTCGATTCTTATTAAACTAAAATCATTAAAATTGAATAAGTCTAATTTAAAATAATTCTACATATGTAGAAAGAAAATTTAATCTACATTTAATGCAAAAAAAAAAGTTTATTCAAGATTCATTTTTTTTACTTTGGACGCTTTTTTGCAATTTTCCATTGGTCATGATTGCCATTTTGTTAAGAGAGATGTATTTTAGTTTTACGAATAAAAATAAAATGCAATAAATCTCAATAAGTACGTAGGAAAATGTCCACCTTTGATTACAAACTCGTTCAAAACAGATACTATACTTTCATCATGTATGGTACTTCTCAAATGCTCTTACTACATATAAGAAAAATTCTCTGTATTAAATAACATTCGTACGCTTGTATTGTATTATGTCGCATATATACGGTGCTTAGAACGAGATCGTGCAGCTCATTGCTATAATTACGCGACAGATGCACAGGGGTATTTAAAGCGACAAGCTCGTAAAAATTCTAATTAAACACCCGCCTGTAATGTATTGCATTACACAAAGCGGCACACCCGTAAAAATTCTAGTCAAACATTCGTCCGTAATATTGCATTACACAGTTCGTGGTTTCCCTGTCAGGCTTCATTACACGCGTGGTTTCACCCTCGGCGAATGCGCTTCCATGCAAAAGACTGCACTCGTACCGCATAAGCGACAGAAAGGAAAACGAAGGGGAAAAAAAGACAAATACTTCGGTTGAAATCCGATTCTCACGTTTCTACGTCTGTTATTCATCTGATCGTATCGAATAACGATTGATTAGAAATGACTGAAAGTTAATCTCAACGGATGCAAAAGCTTTAATTCTCTTCTTATTAATGTGATATATACAAAATTATATTAATTGAATATATTTAATAATTTAAAAAATATAAGTAATATATGAGAGATAAATAGATCCAATTGTCCATTTTTTATAAAAGCATTATGAATTTCAATATATATGCAGTCAAAAAAATAAATTTTTGGATAGAGTTGAACAACATCAAGCGATAATAAAATTGTATTATTAGTACATTTACATCTTATTTAAGTTTTCTATTTCAACTTCTCTTTGTTTATATATAAGTATACGATATCTTTTGCTGTGTTTTCAATCAAGAAAAAAGTTATTTTGCAATTTCACAAAACGAGATAGTTGTCAGTGAGAATACTAGCGATTAAATTAATTATAATAGCGTGCTAGTTTCCGCGAAGTTTCGCATTTTTAGCTATTCAGGAAGAATGCGCGGTATGTACTTCCGACTATTCACGGTTTACTTGCTAATGCAATAATGCCAGTCGCGTCAGTTAACACACAAGCTAACACTTCCTCTCATCAGGCGTAAAGACATGCACATTCGCCACGAATATTTATGGGGCTAATAAAAGCCATGTTGCACTCAATGAAATGGGCTTTAAATACTAGATTCGGCAAATTGGTTATCATAGGCGTTACTGGAGTAGATAATGTGACTTGCATCGAGGAAGTGACCGCAAAATTTTAATTTGATAATTCAATTCTCTATCGTGAGAAAGGATATACCTGATAAAAAGACAACGATAGCGAATCTTTCCTGAAAGAAAAATTCTGTCAGCTATAGATTTATAGCAAAACTGTAAAGTGTATCAAAATCTGAAAGTTATCAAACATGTACGTGCGGATAATTCTCGAACTCACTTTATGAAATTTTAATACAAAATATCGAAAAAATAGGAAACGAAAACTAAAATATTACATAGATCGACATAAATGCGAGAAAAATAATACACTGATGTCTTTTATTATATCAAATTTGTAAAATTGTGAAATCAATATCATATTTGCAGAATTTTATTATAATGTAATCAGGTAATTTTTACTCTTCCCTAAAGGATCTAAAATAGCACAGCGAAATTCGAGAAAAATTATTAAAGTTAAAATCAGAAAACAAGAAGAAAAAAACGAGCCAATTTTATATTTTCGTTAACGAAAATTACATTATGACTTTTTATTATTTCAATTAAAATTGATTTGAATTGTAATATTTTCCTAACCATCTCTTTTATCATTTCGGACTCCTGTCTTTTACATTCTTTTTGGAACATATCAAAAACTCTCATACGTTTCAAAGAAAAACTGGGGAATTTATTGATTGCAAACTTTTATTTATTGATATCAAACTTTAAAAAATGGAATAGTACTTAGATTATAGAGATTAAGTTCAAAAGCGGTACATAAGTATTCTCAAAACTTACTTAATAACGCCAAAGCCAGATCTACATATATCCAGCGTAATCTTTTGCAGACATTCATGATTTTTTCGGATACAGTAAGGGATGCTGTTACGTTATTGGTGTTCACTGTTTCTTCCTCCAACGTTATGGTACTGCACGTCAACTGCTCTGTGGAACTCTGTGGAAAAACAAATTTGTCAAAAGATTGGAATGGGAGAAATCATGGCCATACGAAATATCTAGACGAGACTTGATAAAAGAATTCTTTATCCTAGACGAGGGTCTAGGATAAAGAATTCTTTTATCAAGCTGTCAAGGGAATGAAATCTGAGAGAAAAAAATCTATCGCGACTAGTTTGGCTGATTAGGCACGTTTTTCTAAGGCACGTAGCACTATATTCGTGAATAGTTAGTATTAGTGTTAGTATGCGTTTTCGTCCCACTTTCCACCGTCGCCTTTTGGTTGATCATTATTCTTCTTTTTCTTTGAGCTTTAACTTCACAGTGTTATTATGTTCCGCCCAAATATTTCGTACGTAAAGCAAACACATACCATTTGAGATACAAAAGATATCCAATGCGAAACGCACACAACGATATTAATTAGACACACAATTCTGTAAAATATGGTTCGTATTATATTTTATTATACAAGATATCTAAAATTCGCGAATCAAAATACTAAGATACCTGAGCCGAATAAAATCTTCCTAATTTATTTTATTTTTTTTTAAATTCTACTTATGATGATATTGAAATAATCTAAGTGAGAATCCAATCCTCATTTCATTCACTTTCAAAAATAAAATATATTGTTTATATAAAATATATGTAAATAAACGAAAAAAAATTTTATTAAACTTTGACATTGGGCCTTGTTATATGCATATGAATTAATAAGGTCAAAATAAAAAATAAATTAAAAATAACAAAGAAAGTAAACATTTTCTTTTTAAATCAGTTTTAAAATGATTATTAATCATAGAAAGGAAATTCCTTAGGATTTATTCTACTTTCAAATATTACAATTATGTTTAATTTTGTTTGTAATTAACTCTTTAATCTTTGGAAATTTTTAGTAATTTGAATGCAAATTTGGCTTCTTAAAAGATAGCAACATTGAAAATCATTATTCTCTGGCGTAAACTCCACACATAACAAACAAATAATAATAGCTATAATAAAAAATCACATAAGTGGGCCTTATTTAATAAGTACATCATTTTAAAAAAATACTTATATTTATTTTAAAAAATTAACACGTGAAGAGGCTGATTGACAGCCTACTTAGTCTTAGTCCCCCCTCCTTCCCGTAAAACATTAATTTTTAGCTAAAACGAAATGAGAGCAAAAATTTTTTTTGCAGATTTTCAGAGCGCATAAATAGCGCATTTTTATATATAATAATTTATTCATTAAGATTTGATTAAATGGAAGGACCAGTTAGACAATTGTAAGTGCCTTAAGGGATGCAGCGCAAAAATTGAAACTATGTGAATATGAAAGCGCATAAATAGCGCATTTTTATATAATTTATTCATTAAGTACAAAAACGAAAGCCAAAATCGGTCAAAATTGGATATTTTACACAATATATTATATATTATATTATTATATTAAATTAATTTATTTCAGATATGATTGAAAGCCGAAAAACTTTCGATTTCAATCATTCTGAAACACTAATAATCCTCCCTAAATTAGAATAGAAAGAAAGAAAATAAGAAACTTATTGCGAAAAATATTATTTCAGTCAGGATTCGAACCTGGGACTTCTCAATTTTTCGGGAAGAGTATCGTAACCTACTTTCTTTCTACTCTAAATTAAAACATCTTTAAATGTTTAAAAAATGGAGACAAGAATGAAACACATTTCTTTTTACGGTGTACATATAAATAGTAAGTAGTTATATTATGTAAATAATAATAAAATCGCTATATTTTTCATCAGAAAATAAATGAATAAATAAAATAAAAGAAATAACGCAGCATACAAAATTTAATGTTTGATCTGCAGATTAGGCTATGATATTCTTATGTGTTTTGATACTTTGAAACCGGATCAAAGTGCCTAAATTGCTTCATCAAGTCATAATTTTTTTGTCGGAAAATAATTCAATTTTCTAGTATTCTTAGAATCATTTATGGTTTAGTTTTTAATATACAAGCTGAAGTAAACGAAAGAAAATAAGTTCAACGATACTATGCAAGCTTATAAAGTTAATATGCAAGTTAATAGATTAAATATATTGGAAAATCGAGCTCTCTCTTCGAGCTGTCGAGAAAAAAAAATATTGTGACGTGATGGAGAAATTTGGATATCAGATTCGGTTTTAGAACGTCAAAATATAATTTTCTATAAATCCCCAAATCAAAAAAATTTTTTGTGTGTTTGTGTAATTAATAAATTTTTCGATTTAATTGAAGAATTATTATTTCATTAAAATAATTTTAATTTTTTAAATTTTATACATCTTTGATTTCTCTTTGGAATCAAGAGCTGCATTCCGTTATTCATATGCGAGTATTGAAAATCTATAATATATATAACGTGAACTATAAATTTTCAGTACTCTCAGTGAATAATGGAACGCAGCTTAAAAAAGAATCAAAGAATATATATTAAATATAAAATTAAAATTATTATAATGAAGTAACTCATAATGAAGTATATACATCACATTTGATAAAAACTATTCAAATCTTATTCACATCTACTTTTGATATTGTTTGATATTGTACTTTTGATATACTTTTGATATAAATTAATAACATAGTAACGATACATTATAAATTCTGATAAATTATAAATTCATTTTATATGTTACTAATTCGTAAAAAATATTGTAACATACGGTATTATACTGATGTTATACACACAATCTTTTGTCTAGTGTTTATGAGGCATGTACCCGATCACTATCGATGCCATTCACGGATAGATAGTAATCGTAATCCATAATTATATATATAATTATATAACCAGTCTTTATCTCAAAAATTTGTTCAGAATGGCAAATAGCAAGTGTTCTGTTATAATTTTTTTTCAAGAATTTTCTTGCTATGGTATTTTGAATTTTGAGATTCTTGTGTAATATAACATTGTGTACTCTATATAATAATATATTATATAATACACTATATCTTATCTTAAATATTTTATTTTACTAGTATATTACTTAAAGAGGTCAAATTGATTACGACCAACTTGATTGCGATTTATTATAATAATATACGTCGAATAAACTGTGTTACGTTTATATGCATGGTGACTTCATCAAAGTCCAAAAGACAGGGTGAATTTTTTAATAATGCGCGCGTCGACGGATTAAGTAACGTGATACACGAGTGTTGTTACATACCAATTCGCGATATACGGTCGCATCGGTTTTCCACCGCAAGCTACAGACACGCGAGATACAAGCGGGTTATTCTTTTTTTTTTTAATAGCGATGCGTATTTCGTAAAGTGATCTCCTGTCCACGGATCGCCTGTTTTGAGAACACAACTTAATCGAATTACGCTTTGTCGGAAAACATAAAGCAGCTTGTTTTGTTAAGGACAAGTCATACAGAAGAATGTAAGCAATAAGAAAGATAGATTAGATAATTATGTAATAATTATGTAATAAAATATTCATCATATTTGGATGTATTCATCTTGATATTATAGTATTTTTTTATTGAAATGAATTAAAATTCAATATGAAAGAGCTATTTATCATGTTGAATTCAGATGTATTTATGGATTCAAATGGATTCGAAAAATTAGAAGCGCGAATAAATGAATTTTTTCAAAATGAATTTATTTCTATTCATTTCTGGGAAGTTATGATAAAATAATTATCGTCACAGTAATATGATTAAATATCACGAGACATAGAAAAACATAAATATTATGTACATAATATTTATGTTTTTCTACATCTCGTGATATTTAACTATATCATTGTAAGGTTATCACATAGAAAAACATAAATATTATTAGGTGTTGGAATTAATTCGTAGCGTTTTTTAATGAAAGAATGTTATTTATTTCACATGAGCATTAAAAAATACATTAATGAAAGTACTTCCCATAACTTGTAAAACGCTACGAATTAATTCCAACACCTAATATTAATATTATCAATAAAAAAATAGTATAATACCAAGATGAATACAAATTCAATATGATGAATATTTTATTTCGTATTATAATTCATTTCAATCAAAAAATAATATAATATGGACATGAATACATTCAAATTCAATATAATGAATATTTTATTTCGTATTATAATCATTTCAATCAAAAAATAATATAATATGGACATAAATCGTCCAAATTCAACATAATGAAGCACATTTCTATTCATTTGAGTGCAAAAATGCTTGTATAAATGAATTAGCCATAAATATATTTCAAGCCAGTTCAAAATTATAAATAAAAAAAATCTCATTTAAATTCACTTCAATTAAAAAAAAATGTTGCGCTGCAACATTGTTGTACGATGCACTTTCACAAGATGAAAGAACACGTTTATACATAATTATATTACACGACGGTTGAATTTAATGTCAGATATATGTAATTCTGCGTTTTAAGAATATTGTGAATTTACTGAAGATGGCTAGATTGAAACATCTAATATTTTATTAATATAATGATAATTAAATAATATCTTGTTGTTGTGTGATCACAAACAATATCTTGTGGTATTTATGCTCTTCTTTTTATACTTTTTAATTTATAAATCATGTTCGTTTTTATTATGTAAACAAAAAAATTCTATGCATGATTTGCAAGCTGACTTACAGCATCTGCATTGAAAGTTACGAATTAAAGTTACGAATTGATAATTTAATTACATGTCTCGAGAACGCAAATTGCTCACAAAGGATTTGAGTGCGTATTCTATCGTTTTTAACTCTAAGATATGTTCGCTTCTATCCTGATCTGACCCAACCGTTTCCGTGTTCGTTTATTGCATCTGCATTGAAAATTACGTTACCATAGTTGTGATATATTCAGCAAACGAGAATAGATTGAAATGAATTGAAATGGATTCAGATTTTCAGAAATATTTATTCACGAATGTTAAAATGAATGCTTTTCAATCCTGAATGCATTTTTATTCATTTATAGGAATTGCATGCATATCTCTATGCCTTTCAATATAAAAATAATATTAGCTTT